AGAGGTTGTCTCAGAGAAATAAATCACCTTTGTGAAATTAAACAGTTGTTTCGCTGTAGGTAAAACTCTTATCATAGTTTTACCTTCATGTTTCTCCTCAAAACAATTTAGAAGAATCGCCCAGAATGGAATGGCGACTTTCCAGTACGATGATGTAAGTGTCGGGTCGTCTTCCTTACATCTAGCCCTGACTTCTGACTAGTAGAGAATTCTCCGATCAGCTTTGTTTCTTACCGCTGTTGTTATTTTCTTGTTCATCCAGGCTTCCATGCGATGTGAGATGACCACGGATCCTACAAGCTTGCTTGCTTTCGCTGATAAAAATTTGAAAAGCCAATGTAGAAATCATTTATTCTTTAGTCTTAACTTCTTTAAGCCGCAAACAACCTATTGATTTATTGAGCGTAAACTTATTTGTCAAGTCATAATGGTATTTAGTCTTCAAACTGTAATCAACCTGTAAGAAGCCGTTATCCACCTTTGTAGCTTTTGAAAGTAATTAATGTTTTAAAACAAGCTGAGGGTTCTACCAATAGTCTTGTAGAAATGGTTGTTAAGCGCCTTGAACATAGGATCAGAGCGCTATAGAAATAAGTTATTATTGTTGTGTTCTGTAATTTACCTCGCTAGTACATGACCTAATGTGTATCGCGTCATCAACTTAGAGTATTTACACCGATGTTTTGTAAGATTTTCTTTGGTTATGTTTTGACCGTACCCGCAGTATAGTCTTGGATTAAACCTCTACATTGGAGCCAAGTTCTGTTGTGATCATTGTCTCAAGGGTATTCAGCAGGCGTTAGAGATTCCGTGCCTTCCCGCAGCCAGCGAGTGTCCCCAGGAAAAGGCCTTTCCCAGAGAGTTTTAGAGTTTTTCCCCGTCCGTCAGTTTACCCTTTTTGTGAAGGCAAAACCTGTTTCCACACTGGTGTTCAAGTGAAAAAGCGTGTTTTCACATTGCAGAATTTTCTTTTCTAGACAAGTTAAATAAGGTACAAGACTTAGTGTGTGTGAAGGCCCTTAAAGATCTATTTTTCACAAGTTAATAACTTTTGAAGACAAATACATACTTTCCTAAGTACAACCATTACTACAGAACAGATTGAAATAACTGCCGTCGAGTAAGTTTTACTCATGAATTGTTTCTCAGTAAACCTTGCCGTAGCAAGCCGCGCCGTCGTTTATGGAAGCTTTAACATTATCAAAAAGTACGTGATGACCATTTAAAGAACTTCTTTGTCCAAAATATAAATCAACTCAAGTTATTTTATCAAACACTTGAGAATAAAGATAAGCGAAAAAAGTTCAACACAACAGTTTCGATGTCGCCTTCTTGAGTACGGATAGAAAAGTTGCTGCCCTGGGCCCAGTTGTTCGAAGGCCGATTAGCGCTTAACCCCGGGGTTAAATTTAACCCAGGTTTCTTTTTCTTGAGTTCAAAAGCATTTTCTCGGATAATTTTCTGTGCTATTTTTAGAGCTTCCAATCATCAACTTGTAGACAAAAAGAATTAAAACTGAAATGCTTTCTAAGCTTTCATATCTGAAATCAAATATCGCACTAACCCTGGGTTATCTCAACCCAGGTTTGAACAACTCGGCCCTGGTTGCTACTGAAGAAGTGCAATGGAAAATTAGACTGTCTGATTACGAAATGCTTTTTATTAAGGAGAAAAAACCAAGCTTAAACACGCAATCAGTTTCCATCCTAGCAAAACTGTTTGTAACATATTTTCATCTACACGTGCAAACATGTTACTTTTGCTCTCCTGTTTATTTTGTCACTTTAAACCGTATATATATTAGGTCAGTTTTTAGTTTTTATCTTTGTCACTTGATAATGATGTCATTGTGACATCGAAACGTTGTGTTAAACTTTTTTCGCCTAACTGTATTCGTAAGTGTTTAACAAAATTTAATTTGATTCGTAAATTATTTTATGATAAGGAAAACTATGCTAGTATGCAAATTTGTCGACTGCCTTTAAGCTTGAAATATCTAACTAGGACAGATGGACAATTTCCTGGAAAACTTGCTCGCGTCGCTGTCTGGACTCTATAGCAATTATAGCGGCCAGTTTAATTTCCCTTTGCTGCAAGTGATGCAAGACACGAGACGATATGGTCCTTTCTGGCACACTTTTTGACCGACATGTGGTCTAAGTCTTCTCAGGCCTTAAAACTATCTCCGATCTGGTTCAGTTCAACTCGACATCCCAAACATGAACAGATTTCGTCTTTGCATGACTTTCATATAGAAGAATAAATTCATTTCGGTGAAATAATCGTCATTAGATAAGGTATAATTATACTTTTACTATTAATGTGGTGTTCCCAATGATATTTCCCCAGTGAAATAAGTTATGGCTACCGATGAAAGTTGTCGGTAATTTAGAGAGCAATACCTGCACTGTTGCATGACGTATCGCTTAAGTTAATACTGAGTCAAACTATGTTGGCTCTTGCACTCGACAAAATATAAGAAACGAAACCGTTGAAGAATAGCTGTGTGGTTTATTGTCAACTTATAACTTTTAAAACCATGTGCGACAACCATTAAGACATCTCTACTTTGTCCCCAGGCCCCGCTAGAGCGCGAAAAAATGCGCAGAGTATTATGGGTATGCAAACAAGCAATAATGCATCTCAAGACACCACGTGGGTTGCCTGAGAGTTAGCGAGTCTGCTAAGGGCATGTTGCATTTAGCTTAACGGGTTCTCGCTGCCTTTTCACTGTTAATGAAAAATGTCGTACCTTTTCAGGAGCCTATAACCTGAGATCAGGCGTTATTTTTTTTTTTGCTTCTTCGTTTCTTTGGCTCGAGAGGGAAAAAAATAACGCCTGATACATTTATTTAACAAGCCGTTAACCGCCCCCTAATTTACATAATCTAACGTCTGCTTGACCTGTCATGTTATTAGCCAATAAGCGTTTACCATACGGGAATCAAATTTTGGCGCCAATGTCTTTTAGGGAAAAGAAAATTTTGAAGTACGTCCATGTTCAGATGACGCTTCCTAAAAAAAATTTAAATGTGTTGTTTTTGCGATGAAATACTGCTAGCTGGAGCTGCCGTACCTTTATTTAACAGCTACAAATAATAAAGAAGTTACTGGTTAAAGCGCCTTGACTTCGTTCTAAGCCGAAAGCGGTGAAAAAAAATTAGGCTGAAGCACCATATTTTACGAACTGAAAGGTGTTGTGAAAGCGAAGATCGCTCAGAATAATTCGCACGTTTCTGAAGGAGGAATTACAGTCAAACCAGGTCAAGATTCCATTCATGAATTGATTATTTGAAAAGTGATCCCGTTTGCCGCTTCTGTAACTTGTAACAGGTATCAAATTGCATTCACATGATCGGTCAATTTTTGACTGCCAATGTTTAGTATACGATGAGATGAAAAATATTTCAAGGGATGAAATTTCTATTTAGGCATTCTACAAATTCAAGAAACTGAGCCGGCAGAAATTTTACAACGAACTCGCGTGTGTATTCACTGCTCATTACGCAAGCAAAAAATGCAGACTGAAATCAACAACCGTTAACGGATGGCGGCATTTTGGCCAATTGGAATAGCGCAAATCATCCGTATTGTTTCCTATCCAATCAGAAAAAAGTCCAGATTCTGGCTTTTTTGCATGTGATCCGACAAAGAAATGTATCATGCCCTCTTCCCGTGAGGGTCATAAAGGGATAATAGGGAGAGGGCATGATCTCAGGCTAAGGAGCCTATAACCTGGGCTACCGCCCTTTCAGTAATGAAAACACAGTCGCATGGTTTTAACCCAAACTGTTGTGGAACCTCTACTTAGGGTGAATGGAGGTTGGGCTGGGTTTTTGTGTGCTGAATTCCAACGATTTTTGTGGTCAGTCACCTGAGTGCTAAAGCGGTGTGGCCAGAATGGGTTTAACTCGGTTTTCAGGGCCCAGAAAAGTATCCATTTCCCAAATACAAAGATTATCTGAACATTTTTCCTGGACGAAATATTCGTGTCCCCTGGATAGAGGTGTTCCAAAGGAGAGGTTACACTGTATCACAGATATCCCTTTTTCTCATTTGATCGAGTCAGATTATAAGATGACGCACTGCCACTGATTCTACGCAGTGAGCTTTATCAAGCTACTTCGTTAGTTAAATTTGCACAAGGTTACAGAGCTTCAGATTTTGGCAAGATGTGCCTTAGTGCTGCATGAAAACCGTTCCTGTGAGCGAGTCTTTCCGCTTTCGCGCTTAACTATTGACCGGAACGCTTAGAGCGCAAGTTATGATCACTCGGATCTGTGATACAGTAAGCTGCCTCTTATAAGCTTTAGGCTTATAGATCTTCGTAATTAAGGGGTTTTAGAAGGGTTTATAGAATGAGGGGCTTTGATATATCCCGGGGGGGGGGGCTTAAAATCTTATAATCGCATGTAATTTTTTTCCAGGTAGATATATAACCGGGAGAGCTTATGAGTGGGTAAGGGGGCGGGGGTGGTTACGGTGTATTTTGTTCACCTGCCTTCTCATTCTCTTCTTGTTTCGTTTTAGTTGACTATACACGCGCGTACACAAAAGTACTTGTTTTGTAATACTTGCAATCAAAACCTCTTACGTCAGTCTCATAAATAATACTTTACTTAGAATCCAAGTCCAATTGTCTTTTTACTGTCTCAGGGAGATTGCAGCGCTATTGCGGAATATTAAGACTACGGGAAAATACGATGACACCAAGAGAATACATTTCATGCAAGAAGAAAGGAGATCCACAGAAAGGGGAAATGGGAGATTTTTGTACCATTGTTGGTTTGGGTGTGGTCACGCGAGTCTTTCAGCCACATAACGCATTGCGTTATCTGCTTTATCCATACGTAACGCAAGTATTGGGTGACCAAGTAATTGACAGTGCATGACAAGAAAATCTTTGGGCTCTGCCCTAACGTTTAAACTTCACAAGAATGCAGTAGCAAAGAAAATAAGACTCAGCGAGTATAACTATTGAAGGATGATGAAAAAAAAAAGCGAAAATCCACGTCCCGTTCAGGTTGCTGTTTGATTTCTATTATCCGACGAAAGATGCAGTTCCGGAGAAATCCTCGTGTCTTACTTGACCTAGAGCTTTTACCGCTATGAACTTTCCACTAATAGTCCATTAAGTAGCGCTGAAGACTCCAAATCTGTAGAAACGTGATTCATATACACATCACTGTCATAGGTAGAAAAACCTGTGTCCATTCTTTTAGCACTGTCTGTTTCGCTCAAAGGACCATGAATCAAGCCATTAACCGCAGGCGCAGGCGTGGTGATCAAAGCATTTCCATTTTCACTAATTGCCGAGTCAAATAACGGCTCCGTCGAGACGTCATGGACACTCTTCACAATCACTCTGTTTATTCCTGGTGCCTCGTTTTCATTTACATTCCCGTCAATTTCATCGCCCATATTTGGCGCTAGTCCACTAACGTTCGTTTTATCGACGCTGTTGAAATTTTCCGAAAGACTAAGCTCTCCTTTAACCTTAACGCGAAGTTGTTCTTCGCTGGATATGATCTCTTTCTTCACATTTGCGCACAGATCAATAGGACTGAGTACTAGATTCTCTTTCTTTTCGTTCTCAAGTGGCCGAGCTTGACTGGGTTCCATATCAACGGCTTGTACATTTTCGCTGGCTTGGACAGAAGACGTGGCGGCTTTCTTCATGCCCTTCTTTTTCTTTCGACGGGGTGCGTCGGGTGAGAGACACTTTTTCAGCAAGGTTTTGTTTCCTTTTCGTTTCTTGATTCTTTTCTTTTTGACTTCAAAAATCTTTGGTTTCTCTACAGGGGTGTCATCATCGTTCTTCTCAAGGAACACGTACTGTAGATCCACAAATGGCTGCGAAAAAATTAAAAAGGACAACGGCAATAATATCAATAAGCAATTGTTCACCTAAAATTGACATTTTAAGCGAGATGTAATTAACGCGACAAAGCTTGAAAAAACGAGGGACGAATTCATTTAAATAGCGAAATTTTTGCACTTGTCGCTGTTGTCGTTGCTAAACTCCCTTTTCCCCCTTCCAGCCACGCTTAGTGTGCTTTTCAGGAAGCCAGCTGTATATAATCTGTGCGTTCGCGTGTTTGTGTTCCGGATTTCTTGAATCCTGATTACTTTACATGGGACAAGACTACTGATAATCTCACAGTGATAACGTTGCCATGCAATTTACCTTGGAATAGAGACCATATATCCGACACACCTCCTTCATGGTCAGGTGACCATCCAGAATTTCATCGGAGCGAATTATTTCCGTCTGAACAGAAACAAGAGACAGAACAACTAATCAGATGTGACTCAGGTGACCTAGTAATCTAACAAGTAGGAAAATGAATACACGTAATAAGGAAAAATAAAGAAAAAAGACACCGTTCTTCGCTTCAGCTACTTCTATGGTCAAAAGGTAACTCACAGCCTCGAGTAAAACCACGATTTTCTTGCGCGGTTGTTGTCTTTTTTCCTGTCATTTTCTTTAAAGGGGGTAAAATTCCGAAAGGGCGAAGAACCAAGCAAATGTTGCATGATCATAAATCGGTTCATGCGCTTACTGATTTACGAAAAAAAAGCGGATGTTGAAAAGAATACTTTTAACACTTAAAATACGAGCTAGATAATCCCTTGAAAGTACTTAATGCACAACAGTGCATGGAGCAAAGTTCTTTTAAAAACGAGTAAACTTCCAGTGGCTTACGAGGTGGGTTTCTGGGATGGCAAACTTCATAACCAGAAACTTCTTCAGTACTTTGACTGTCACGGTAGAGGAGCAACGCAGATAACGAGTTGGAAAAATCTGAAAAATAAAGTTACAAAAAGACATAAAATGCGCTTTTCTTTCGCTTGTCCGGCCTCAGGCAGGTTGCTAAATGAAATATATGATGAAACTCATCTCGTTTCCAATGACCTCAAAGAGCATGCGTCAGCTTAATTGTAGACCAGTGTGATTAAATGTCAAATTACGGAGGGAACCCTTTTTGCTTTCGCTTCTTCCTGACGACATTTGAAAGATGAGAGCGCCAACTGTGAGAGAGAACCAAAGACGAGAAATCCAAAGACTACTGCAAAGCTGATTCATAACAGAATGCGAGAGAGATAATTCTGCTACACAGCCGTTCTTAATATCGTCACGCAACTCTCTTGTGGGAGGGAGCGTTGCGTGACGACCCAAAGAACGGCTGTGTAGCAGACTATGAGAGAAACGCTTAGGGCAAAAAGGAATCTTTATCAATGGTCAGTGCGTGAAAAAACAAAATTAAATTGAGGACATGAAAATTTAAGTAACAGAAATGAAAACCTCGCTCATAGCCTGCGTGGCAGGCGTAAACAATTCGGGCGAGCGAGAGAGAGGGCAACACGTGCGTGCTCCACGCGTACCCGAAATCCCCCTTCCCCTCCCCCCCCCCCCCCCCCTTCCATTTTAAGGCCTACCACGCAGGCTATCTCCCTCAGAGCTCTGAAATTTCAGTGTTCATTGATAACCAGTATAAATTCTAACTTACCTCCTTTTCCATGCGGTTCCTTGTTTTCCTAATTGCATAAAAGAAAGAGAAAAGCGTTGGAAAGGGAGCCTAAACTTAACACTTATTTCTTAACAACCAAACGTGTAACGCTTTTGAACGACGATATCAAGACTCCTACCTGAAATATTCAAGAGTAATGCACACAGGATCCTCAAAGGGCAAGGACTCTTTCTCCTTCTCTGCATTCTGCGGCTCCTCTTTAGTTTCTATGGAGAAAATAAAAGTTGTGTTATCCGTCTTCCAACAACTTTCCATTTTTAATGTTGAAAATAACACGGAAGAAAATAACGTGACTGCAAACCTGGTTCTTCACTCTTTTCTTTCAAACTCGTTTCAAATTCCTTGCGACGATTTAACTCTTCTGCATGTAAAGACAAGATGAACAAATTAATGTAACTGCTACGCAGTCGTGGACGTAAATTGGCCTCTATTGTCTTTTATCTGGACAAACGCCTCGTGAAATGAAACGTTCATGGAGAACCTGGTGAGTTTTCGTGGTGCTCATGTTTAATATATCTCTGTTATCCAATAACGACAAGTGAGACTTTTGAAACAGGCAATTATTAGGAGAGACGATTTAAGGAGTTTTATCTTACCTTGATAAATTCCGGGCACTATCTTGTACACGATATCCTGTAAAGTCCTGTCTGGTCTGTCAAGACAAAAGAAAAGCCAATTTAATCACAGGTTTTAACTGTAATTATGTATAAGGCGTTTGGTGGGCCCTGTTGTAAGGTATTCCGGGTTGATAAAAGCTATTCAAGAAAATGAGGGAGATGTGTTAAGTTCTTCACCAGATCGCGAATTTGTATATGTGATATTGTCCACTGGGCTGGAGGGACTTGTGATGACTGGTAATATGGTGGATTAGGGATTAACTACAGCTTATAAGCCATGGGCTTATACAACTGCTTAAGTGGTTTTAGATGGGCCTGTGAACGAGGAAGTATCCATCCGAGGGGGTTTTATAACCTGAAAAAAGAAAAGGCGTTTCCAAACGAGCTACAGCATTGTTGACCGAGAGACGTTTTTCTCTGGACCAATTTCGACATATCAGAATTCATACTTGGTTCAGAGGCTCAGGGGAAATAAAACAGACACAGGCAGATAGATGGCTTTATAACCGGGGGGGGCTTATCCCCGTTATGAGGGGGGGACTTATAAGCAATACGTTACTCAAACTGTTCGGAGGGCTGGCCCCGGAATAACTCTAGAATGATATACTGTTACCATTCTACCCCAGCGAAATTTATGGGCTTGTCTTCCTAAACGATTCCACTACCCTCCACTCACACCTGAGACGGGAGGGGGTGGGGAGCGGGCGGGGTGAAATGTGTCCGGCAAAAATAGCACTCACCGAATGTGTAAAAGCGGTTTGGTTTTGTGGACTTCAACGTCACAAACAGGACAGTGAAACGAGGTTTGAAGATACTTCACGATACAACTGCGACAAACTGCAACCAAAGATATATTGATGTCAGTATTTTGGTTGTTATTTCTAGAACCCATCCACAATAATAACCCACTCCGTACGTTCTAACCCTGCATTCGCACGCAAACAAAAACGGGAGTCTTTCGCATACGTAGCCGACGCCTGGAAATGTTGGGTTTGGCCGTCTCGTTGTTCTCTTTTGGTAAGACCAAACGCCGGGGCCAGATTGCAACCTTACATTCCTTGCAACCTTGACTGATACAGAGTTAAAGGAAAGTAAACATGTCAGATATGGATAAACCATAACACGGTGGCGAAAAGCCGTTGGCCTTGCCTCCTTCAACCGCTTCTTTATCAGCCTTGGGCCTTAAGATGCAAGGACGTAAAACGTCGCTTGAAAAGTGAATTCGCGTTCTTTGCAATCTTCGTTCATCGCAATTATTCCAACTCACTCACCTTATAGAGTGTAACGAACTCTGCTGGAGTTGAATTACCAAGAACCATATCATCCAAATTCACAAAGAGAAAGAAAATTTCGTTATCGCTTGCTTCCGTCCTTCTTAAAACGTGAAATTAGGCACTTCACGTCGTAGTCGTGAAAATTGTGCCGCACGTGCAAAGTTGTTGTTGAAACCAATCTCCGTCTTTTACAACACTGACGCTATATAATTTCAGTCAGTGAGTTAATTCTCACATTACGATCAGACGGGCGGAAGGTAGCATTTATTTAGTTTATTAAGCGCCGTACCATACTTCGGAACGCCAAAAGGGATTTCAGATACTTACACGAGTGGAGACACTCGACGATCGTAGTAGCATCGACAAGATATCCACCACATAACACGCAGAGAAGATGAGGATTGAGATCTTGAAGGTGCATCATTCGCAACGACATCTTGCGATTTTGTGTTGCTTTCTATATAAAGAAAAAAAAGGCAAGTTCTGAGAACCACAAATAGCATTTTATATTCCCCTCGAAAAGGTCAAGCTTCCTTTTAATTGGCCTCTAAAAACATCAGTTCACATTTCCGGTTCGAGAACACATAAAAAACAAAGTGAGAAGGAAGATTGGGGTTATTTATTCCTCTCAAGTTCTGCCCAGGAGAAAACGAACACGAACACGCCAGTCTCTATAGTCACTTAATAATTGCTGAAGAAAAGATAACATTTTAACATGAAGTTAATAACATTATTTCTACAAGTCTCAGGAATTCGCCGTGACCGGAAGTTTTCATAAAGATTCATTAGATCAGACAAATAACAAACAAATAAATATCTCAATAGCGACGGGCGAAAATAAGCAATAGGGAGTACCGTATGAAAAGTTGTTCAGGATTGAAGATGGATGATGACTTAATTCCAAGCGGTAAATGAGTTCGCTAGGGCCGGGTTTTTGACCCAACCAAGTCTATCATCTGATCATAGAGAGCAATGGAAAGTTTAAAACCAGGGCCCTTTTCTTGATCGAACCAAAGTGTTCGGGCATCCAGAAAGCTATTTTTGCGTGCAACGTTTTACATGACGTCCTAGAGACGTTTGAGTTTTAAAAGCTTAACTGCGAGTACATTAAAAGCTAATTTGACGAAGAAAAATCTGCGTATTTTCAATGCCAACAACTGCACTAGAATCACAAAGTTTTTTATCATAAAACATCGTCTAATTATCCGTGGAAAATGAGTCTGAGACGGGGTTATAGGACTGTTCAAAAACCGTGTTGGCGAAACAAGTGCATCAAAAGTTTCCAACCCCCATGGAGCTGAAACCACGATCATTCCTAAAATCTTCACTTAGACAGCTGCATTTTTTGCTTAAAATCATGAGCAATAATTAACGTCTTTGTTACAAAAATTAACGCATTACAAACGTTAAAGGTTTATCGGATCGCAACGTCGTAAAGGGAAAGCTACCGTTCAACATCGCTTTCGTTCCAATGACTGCTACGAAAGCGAGTTATAAAACTGAAATGACTGTGGGCCCATTATCTGTCGTCTGACCTTTGTAAAATAATAACAAAAAGCAAAAATATTTCGCAGAGTTTTACCATCTCTTTAATGCATCAAATAGAAGATGATTCTTAACTCTCCCTTATAGTTAAAATGTGATGGATCGAGCCGGTCCAGACAAGCTACATAAATACATTTGATTCTTATATCTGGATTTGAAAAAAAATCGCGTTTAAAGAACTAAACAAGACTTACGGTATACTTTCCGTTTTCTAATAAAAAGAACTGTCGACTATAACTCCACTATAAAACCTTGCCGGTTGAAAGGTAGTTGATATCGCGAAGTTTGAATGCTTATACATCAATTCAAGCATCCAATTTTAAGAGCCCAGAAAAAAAAGAGGCCAAGTTTAAACAAGGGACTAAAACGCAAGAGATACTAGGTAGATATGAGACAGATTTCGGTTATCAAATTAGTAGCTTTTCTATTCAAAAGAATCGCTTACAATGAAACGCCTAAATCAGTAGTGTAGTTGGTTATGGCTGATTAGTCGTAAGAATCGAGCAAGCTAGGATCCACACTTTTCCAGGATAGTTAATTTAAGTGAGATTTTAACAAAAAAAATTGAATCAGGCACGGACAGCTGATCACTTCAAGAAACACACGAATATATTTCACGACGCCGAGAAAATTTTATACAATGTTATTTTTCATTTAACACCGAGACTGAATGGCAAAGTATTCTTCCTTCTGGGTCAATTAAGATTTAGATTGTCAATTTAGCATTTTAACGTCCTGGAATCGTTTGGACTTGGTCGTCAGTAAACTGAAATCAAACTGGAAAAATTTGACGTTGAAATCGCATAACTTAACTGGCAAAAATCGCATATTAACATGAGAAGAACAAGGTGATATAAGAAACAGTACGCGCTGTCATCTATAAATGCATGCATATCACCCTTTCGCGTGTAAAACTGTCTTTGTATGTAACGAACCAAGTTGCTGCCGATCGCATGCAATCAAAATAGCATTTATAGTGCAACTTCAATCCATTTCTACTTTTTGGCTTTTACTGACGGTAGAGTTGAGAATAAAGGCTTGAAATATTAACATCGCGTCTTTTTTAATGGAAGGCCAGCAAAGTTCAGTTCGCGATAGTCACGCATTAGGTTGAGATTAGTCATTCTAGTGATCCACAGTGCGAAGTCTTCCTCAACCCAAATTTTTTTCCTTCTAACTTAAGGCCAAGTTTATCTCAAATCATCGGACTTTTGATGGACAGTTTTTCCGTAATGATTTTCTTACCGTTTTTAAGAGACGAAAGCTTACTAAGAAGTTCCAATTTCCGATTTTTTGTCTGCTTTCTCCCGAACTTCGCCATTCAACCCAGCGACATATTAACAAATATTTGACGTTGAAGCCGAACAGGTTTCAATGCCGTAGCATTCAAATTTTGCGTGCTGTAGTATGAAACAGAAATTATAACTGAGGAAAAGGCACCCAATCTGAGCTCTTTCTGTTGGGATGTAGTAGGCGGATGACACAGCAAGGTTTTCAAAATTGCCAAGCACTCAGAAATATCATGACATTTGAATAGCGTATGAGTGAAGGCATAGTGAATTTGCGAGAAATATCACAGCCCTTCAGAGCTCGACTCTACATTTGACTGATGACTTCTTCCCGTCTCTGATCAATCCGCAATTAAAATAAAAGACAGTTAATTTACGAATCCGGTGAGATTTGAAACACTTTGGGCTACCAATGCCGTCAACGGGTGCTTTATAGTCAAAGTCATTCGTGTATATATATATATACGTTTGAGTAAAAATAGATAAGAAAAATAATGTATTTCTTTTTCTGTTGACCAAGTGGAAAGTGCTGTTTTTAGTACAAAGTTAGTTTATCCGCATTTATTTTTTATTGCTTGGTAGATTTCAAACCCATTTAAGTGTTCGTCGCGCTTTCGTCTGGTTTCTCTGAAAGGTAACTTGTTTCGCGGATCGAACCTATCTTTTACATTACAATGTACATACATGTGATGCCTCAGTGTTTCAAACCAATTCAACCCGACCCTTTCCCAGTATGGGTACGCTGGAAAATCAAAATATAGAGTTAAAAAATTTGAGCCGCAAATTCCGATAATACATGATTTTTTGGATATTGAAAGTGTTAACATCAGCGTGTGCCAGGAACGTAGATAACATTTTCCCCACGCGAATTAGAGTGGGCCGAAAGCAGTGTCCTCGTGAACCAGTCTTGTTTCACAATACAACGGCAAACTTTAACTTTACACGGATATGCTTAAAATAAAAGCAAGGGAATAGCTGGAGTACTTTTTGTTAAATATAGAGAAAGGAAGTCTGTTTGTGTGAATCTAAGCAGATGAATATCACATCAACTACAGTTCATTGAGTCACAAGATTCAACGGGCATACTCTTGTACGCCGAACGGACTTGCGAAATCAACGACGAAGCAACACAACTTTGAAGACAAATTTCAACACGATGAGAGCTTTAGCCGATAACGATTCAACACGAACAGCAAAAGAATATATTTTTCTAACGTTTGTGTAAATTCTAGAGGAAACGAAGGACAAGAACATAAGATTTTTACCTTTTTTCTTCGTGGTTCTGGCTGGATTGTTGTTTTCAATCTTGCAAAGGACACAGAGCGTAGCGTTGTATTGATTACAGCGATCACGTGATCTGTCAGTCAACTCGAAAACAAAGGAAGCCGCGAGTGTGTATTTATGTTTTGAGTCATTTACATCTGGTAGACGACCCACAAATACTCAACTCGCAGCAATAAAGGGAAATAAAACCCTAAAAAACAACTCCGTTTTTAAGTCACTTGACACAGCACAAGAAAAAATCGCCGGCACTTTTTTTACGGTACCGAATTGAAAGCTATACTACAAAACGTCATAACATCATGCGACTTAGAACCCATGCAATTCAACTACGGACGCTCGGAGGAATCTAGTACGTTGTAGGATGTTAAAAACAGTTGCCTCTGGCCCTTTGATATTCCTAGTGATCATAAACTTGTCTTCCAGTGCTTGTGCAGGAAGCGTATCTTTTGTGGTTATGACTGCGGTGATGTGAAATTTTTAGACCCTTGACAAAGTTAACCACCCGCTCAGCATGATAACTGCGATTCATTTCAAAATCAGTACGTTGAAAAGAACTTGAAGAGCAAGTTTGTGGCTTGAAATAGCCAGCCTTACGAACAGATGTTAAATCTTTTTTTTTCCAAATAAAAGCTAGAAGGAAATTAAAGTACATGATATTGCTCGCGTACAATCAGCTGTACAATCCCATCACTCAGGACGCGAAACAATTTGGTTCTAACCATAAGTCTGTGGCCCGAAACACATAGAGATTGATAATTTAAATGAATCCTCTTTGGTAGTACTTTCACAAACGGGTTACATTTTTCCAAAGTAAAAGTTTTTTTAAAACATTGTTTTGGTCATCATTAGTTTTAAGCCTTCTCGGGAGAAACTAAAAATGCTGAAACTCGGCCGATACTTTTGAACTTGATCCAACTTTTTAGTTTTAACACGTTCTTCATTGCCGTTTATTCTTTATTTGAATATAAATATTCCACTTGTAAATTTGTTCAACATTCTCAGAATAAATTATTTCCTTTATAAGTTAAGGAGCAGTGAGCAAAGCCAATATACTCCGTGCAATAATGTTGGGCCCCGTAAAAACTAAACCTGCCAAGCCAGTCAGAACGGGGCAATCTATAAATGGTGAAATAAATCCACAATGAAAGTAACGGCCTCAATTAGGCTTCAGTTAGACCAATATCGGGCATTTTCACGAACACTAATACCTTCACTCCAAGGATCAGAATACTTACCTTAGACGAATCGGAACACACGCGTACGTGCTTCCGCTCAGTTAGACAGGTTTTAGTGAGCTACTATCAGA